TCATGTACTTGGAAAAAAAATCATGGCTCTATATCTATATTGATGATCTAAAACCATTTATAATCAGTGTGGTTAAATGTTGTTTAACTTCAACAGCTGGAAAGGAATTCATATATATTCTTTATAAAGTCTACACTGATTAGAGCTATTAAATGTTGTTTTAATCTCAACAGCTGACGAACAATTCTTATATATGCATTATAAATTATAGCTAAGGTCTTATACTTAATAACTTATATTCACCATAGTGACTGTATTATTTCTTATATCATCATATTCGAAGAAAGGTTGTTTATTCAATTTGTTTTGATTTTTTTTAAAATAAAAATAACGTATTTCCTAATGCTTTGGACATAGCATTTTTTTTGAATTAGAGATCATAGCATTAATAAATCTATCAAATATAGAATTATGATTGATGTTTATCATATGAACATATAAATAACAAAACATATGTATCATAAAAAAATCCAATGTTCATTGGCAATGTAATAAGAGACAAAAGATGTGAATAACAAAAAAAATCCAAATTCAGTAAGTTTCACTTATTGAAAGAATGAAATAAATCTAAAATGTTTAAAAAAATTTAAGCTTGACTAGTAGATCCAACTATGGAATTTTGCTTCTTTGGGATGCTAAATCCAATAGGTATATGGTTCTTGCAAGTAGCTCTATTATGTCCAAATTGTTCAAAATAATTGCACCTAATAGTTCTCTTAAACTTGTTGATTGAAGGAATTTGTGCCTCCTTAGGCCTACTGGCACCTTTTTTTTATCTCTGGTGGCGTCAAAGTTTTTTCAAGCACTTCACTAGGAATTTTCTAATCGCATTGATTACCCAACAAATGGATTCTACTTTGTGTAGTACCTAGAAACAAAAGCATATGCACAAAGTTGTTGCTTGCTAATCACTGCGCAAGCATGAGAACAAGGAATCTCTTCAAAATCCCACCTCTTACAGGTACAACTTTTGGTCTTCAAGTAAACAATAAAACTAGATTTGCCATGTATAACAGTGAACTCATTAACATCATTTGGTTGAACCTACAATAAAAATACAACGCAATATAACGATAATAAATTTCATATTCAGCATATCAATGATATACTCTAGTGTATCAATGAAGATATGTTCAATTATAAAATGTTACCTCTATGTGCTACCAAGCTCTTTTTGCTTGGACAATTGTTTCTTAGCTTGTGGTGTTAGATGGAAATATATAGAATTAGCTTGCATCCTCATGTATAAAACCAATCCTGGAGCTTTTTCCTAATAAACTTGATCAATGGTATAATTGGCAGGTCCCTTGCATAATCTAGAGTAGAGTTTATGCTTTCAGATATATTAGAAATCATAATATCATACCTTCTCCTTATAGAATGAGAATGTGACTACTTTTCATAACCTATATCACAAAGGTAATCATGAATTCTAGGTGCCACTTGATCTAATTTCTGCATCTTATGTTCAAAATCAGAAAATTTGTAGACCCTAGCACAACGATTGAAGATACTAGCAATTGAAGGGTGTTTAAATTTTATTCTTATATTACCCAAAAAATGCTGCACTCAAACATAATGTTTGGCATTAAAAATTACATTAGACACAGCTTTCGATATACTACTTTTCCTGTCTAAAATAAATCTAGGTCTTGACGATAACATAATAAACACTTCAACTTGTAGAAAAACCACTCCCAATAAGTGTTGATCTTCGAGTCAACAACTACAAATACTAATGAAAAGATTGAATTGTTTGCATCCATAGTACATGCAATTAGAAGAGTCCCCACATATTTGTTCCTAGAAATAGTTCCATCAATTGATATAACCAACTGACAATGACTCCATCCCTTAATAAAAGCAGCAAATGATACAAAGAAATACTTGAAATGACCATTACCACCATCTTTAATACTTGTAACAGTACTTGTAACATGTTATTAATGAATAAAACAACTAAGTATGATACATAACATAATTACTATCTAAATATAGCATTGATAAACTTCTATATATCATTGACAAATATGTATTAGGATTTGTGTAAGTCAAAGCATAGTACAAGGAAGGTAATCAGGCATAAAAGTCCTCTGGACAACCTTGAATGGCTTCTAAAACAAGTTCATTTGCTCTCCATGTCTTGTAATAACTGATAGCAACTTCAAATTCCTTGTGCATATACTTAATTATTGATTTTGGGTCATTACATTCTCCATCAATGAATTTTTTGCTTCACACATTCACTAATGATAAGACTTGTTGCTTGCCTATGATCATCATGCACGACGTCAATAGTACAAGTATGGTCCCTAACAAACCATCTAATGACCCAAACTTGAGTAGAAGAAATCATTGAGGCTCATACATACCATTTACAACTATCAACACTGTAAGCAATAGCAAGCCTCTAGCTATTTGAATTTGCATTAGGTGGAAATGTCACCTCTCTCCTTAAAAATAATAAATAATATTATATGTCAATTATTAATACTTATTAATGAAAATAAAATACTAATTTAATTAAAAATCAGAGAGGTGATGTTTCTAATGTGGAAAAATGTGACCTCTCATTAAAAATGATAAATGATATTATATATTAGTTATTAATACTTATTAAACAAAAAAAATATTAATTCAATTAATAATTCGAGTGGTGGCATTTCCCAACACAGGAAACACCACTTTTTTTCTTTTAATTATTAAATAATAATATATAATAATAAAAAATATTAATTAAATAAACTATAAAAGATTTATTTAATTATTACTTAATGTATATATAATTTTTAAATAATTAAGCTAGAGAGGTGGCATTTATATTGTGGGGAAACGCCAACTCTCTACTTTTAATTATTAAATAATATTATATATTAATAAAAATATTAATTAAATAAATTAGAAAATATTTATTATTTAGTACTCAATATATATATATATATATAATTTTTAAATAATTAAACTAAAGAGGTGGCATTTCCATGTGTGGAAATACCATCTCACTCCTTAAAAATAATAAAAAAATATAACATATTAGTTCTTAATAATTATTAAAAAATACTTATTAATAACAGGATAAATTGGCTCACTAATTGAAAAAAGAACCCAACAATATGGACAAAACTTTTAAAAAATTTAAGAATGTGGCTGGTTTGCATTGATATATAAGGAATTTATCATTTAAAATTTAAAAATTTATAAGGGGTTTATCATTGATATACAAAGGTATATTATTGACAAATATAATAAACAGGCTATAATGTAAAATATAATAAATATTAGACTATTTGTTTGATTTAGTCCTATAATATATACTATATCTGCAAAAGCCTCTTAATAAAGGCATTAATTGAAGAAATTATACAAAAATTATTTAATTACAAACTAATATATATAATTATTTAATTATTAAGATAAGAGAGGTGGCATTTTCACCTACAGGAAACACCCCCTCTCTACTTTTAATTATTAAATAGTTATATATATTGATTATTTATGCTAATTAACTAATTATGATAAAATAATTATATAATATAATAAAAAATACTTAACTTATAACAAATTAAGTAGAGATGTGACATTTAATTACTGAAATGTCACTTAACTATTAATTAACAAGAAATTGTGGCATTTCATTTAAAAAATACCACCTCTTTTTATTGACTAAAATTGTAAATAAAAAGAATAATTTTAAGTTGTGGCATTTGATATAAGAAACACCACTTCTCTACTTTGATTTTAATATTGGTGGCATTTCATTTTTTACTATTATAAAATGCATACTACTAAATTTCATTTCTATATTAGTGTTAGGAATTATGTGAAAGAATATGAAATTATGGAAGGGCTAAATAAGAGACTTAAAGTTTTAATTTCCCAGGTCACAATTACTCCATCAGATACAAGTCTGCCATTTACTTTATGTTCAAGAAAGTTATCAATAATGTTGTCTTTTACAATGACTATAAAAAAATAAAATAAGGACAAACTCTTAGTAATACTATTGGATTTTGTTTGCTATGTCCTGTTTTCACTCATAGGTACAATTTTATGTGGCTATCTCACATGTTTAGAGCCAGTGGCGGAGCCAGGATCTTGGGTTAGAGGGGGCGAAGTCAAGACCTTAGTACAAGAAAAACATTTTTGTCTTTTCAAAATCCATTTAATTTCTTTCTTTTTTTCTTTGTCTTTGTTTCTTAATTCAACTTTTAGTTATAAATTTGCAAGTATAGTGAGTTAGCAAAATGTATTCAACAAGTTTACTTTTGGTTCTTGAATTTTCATTCTTTGTTGCCTTTTTTCCTAACTAGTATTCTTAGGACTAGTTTAATTAAATTGGTTTTTTTCTTCTATTTTTTGAAGGATTAATAAATAATATTGGCATTTAGTTATGGTGAAATTATGGGTTAATATTCACTAGGTTAAGTTAAAAAGTTGAATTTTAGATTTGGGCTAAATGTAACATTGAAATGGGTTCAAAGTTTAAAATATTAAAATAAAGTGGTGTAAAGTATTAAAAAAAAGGATCAACTTATAAAATATGAAAACATATACCCCAAATAAGCTATTTTTCCCATATGCCCCTATCACAGCAAGTGGCTTCGCCACTGTTTAGAGCCTTGATTTTGGATGAAGTTCATCCAACAAACATGACCTTAAATGTTGTTTACAAAAAAGTTTTCAATGGAGTTCAGTAATCTTTTGTGGTAAGTCTCTTATTACTTTCAAGCATGAATATGTTTTTGCATTATTACATTTTTTATGTTAACATTATTCATTAACAACATTTGATATTTGCACCATTGGAAATGATGTAGAAGTAAAAAGCTATTTCATTTTCAAACTTATGTTGCAACGCGTACATTTTTATTGACAACACTTCTTATATAAAAATTGCATGCTCTTTTACCAGAGCGTATGTCATGCAATTACTTGCTTAAAATCACATTGATCCTAAGCTAAAGATTCACTGTAGGCCGTAGCGTTAATATTCGGTAATAGTTTCACGTCTTGCACGGGTTACACACCAAGTTCTCCTTAAAAACAAATGCAACTATCACGACTTTAAGAAAATTTAGTTGCTTCGTGATCAAACTTTTAATACAAAATCATCGTTATCATTATTAGGATAGATACACAAACAAGTCTAGAAAATCTAAGATGAGCAGAATCAAAAGAGAATGAGATGCTAAGCAGAGATTTCCAGCCTCTGACAGGGAAGCAGAGAAATTATTAGTTGGTTGGGTTTTGAATTGCAAATAAATAGACGCTTCGACAAGGTGTCATCACTGTGTGTCAATGGTCGTCGGAAATGCCATTCCCAAGGCCAAAACCCAATGTTAAAAGCTCGCCACGCATGCATGCATTGCTGATGATCCTCTGTTTCCTCTGAAACGTGGCTTCACCGTCATCTATCTTATTCTTGCCTACCCCATTAGTCTATTGGTTGATGCGTCTCTATTCATTTCAAAGGTGGTTCTGTACCTGATCGTTCATTCAAGATTGCCGAAGTGGGAGGTCCTTTTTCTCATCTGGTTTCAGCTGTTTGGTATGTAATCACCTGGCTTTCTTTCTTGTCTTGTCAAATTTGTGATGCTCCATTTCCAACCTTTCGCTTTCACACCCGTAAAGAACTTTCAAATTTCTGGGAAAATAATGTTCAAATTCTTAACTAAATAGGCTTTTTAGTTTTTATCATTAATACCGGAGCAGGAACTTTATTATTTTGGAGTTAAATCAATGTTCTCTTGTCTATATGACTGACAAGAAAGGTTAGGTGGTTGGATCTGATTGATGAAAGTGGTTAGAAAGTTGTTTATCTGTTCTACTTTGTAAATTCGAAGACTCCATAGATTTACTTCTTTAATGCTTTTCCTTGGGAAAATCGATTGACTCTTGCTGGATTTGTTTTTTCCACTTATTTCAGGCAATCCACCAATGTTTTGACCATCTGTGGCTTCCTTCCCTTCTCTTTTGGATGCAAACTAAAATTATTACCTTTATCTTTTTCATGCTTCTGGGCTATGGGGATGTTTTAATTTTGATGGATGCCATATTTGAAAACGCATTGCTTGGGTTTATTTAGTTCAAAATGGACGGTCCATTTTTATCCAAAAAAGAAGGAAAACAACAAATCACAATCTAGTTTAACTGACTTGTTGTCTCGAGCATTCTCACTCCATCTCTTTCTTATCACACTGAATGTGCATGATCAAATTCACTAACCAGTTTGCAGACACTTAATCTCATTCTGGATAGAAGATTTCCGGCGTGGTGGTCTGGCTCTTCGTAGAATGTAATTGTGTGAAGGCCGTTCTGTTCAGCAAGGAGGACTTATGGTAGAGTTTACTAATAATTTCTCTTATAGCATTCATGCATATATTTTAGGCCATGCTCATTATTTGCCATGAATACACACATATGTACATATATATAGATAAATTTACACTTTAGCTCGGGTAAATTTGTTGGTATTGCAAATTATGCAGCACTCATTTGGACTTTTTCCCTGTCGTTACATCTTTCAGATTACTGGCTTGATATTGGCTTGAAATAGCTTCTAATACTTTTTTGATAAATAATTTTTTTTTTAAAGATTGAGTTCTCCATGATGTCAATCAAATCATGGAAGTTGCTGATGAGAAAAAAGAGCGGATTGTATGATTGGGTCTGTCTGCTTATCATCAAATTACTGGTAACCGCTTTTCATAACAGTGATCCACCTTTTAACTTGACATATTTCAATTTGAATTTTGTTGGAGCAGGGAAAATCTTGTTTGAAGATGAAACAACTGCCACTCATGGCAGTAGCATGTACAGTAATGTTGTTCATTTTTTATAGAACTACAAGCTATCAGTATCATGAAACAGAGGTATGGCACCGCAAGAATTCTTTTAAATAGTTGATGCTAAATACCTGCGGTAATGTGAGAGTCCTTGTCAATTACAAATTTTATAATTGGTTTCGTCATACATCTCAAAGTGTTATTGACAAATTACCTCATCATGGAAACCTACATGATTTTTCCCCACCTGCAAGTATGGTGTACAGCAAATAAATTAAGAACACACTTTGTTCGGGTAACAAATCACACATTGTGTTTTTGTGTTGAAAGAGATAATTATGTGCTTTCTTCTTTATTTACTACCAGCAATTTCAGGTTGACCAAAGTCAGAGTATCTGGGAAGGAGAAGAGGTAAGCAATCTGATGTTGGCTAAACTTGCCTTGCAACTTTTTTCCCCCTTTTCTCCCCTTTCTTTCTTAAAAAATATTCATATTTGAGCATTGCGGTGTTATTATATTGTAACAGAGCTGCAACAATTGCTTTTTCCAATCAAAGTAGCACCCAACAAATTGGGATTAAATTGAGATTGTAACTAACTTAAATATTCCTTGCTGCCTATGGTACTTGTGATGCCCATCATGCAGGGAATTCCTGAATATTCTGGGAAGTTACGAGGCTTGCCACATGGTATAATACATGCTACTTCAGATTTCGAGCTAAAGCCATTATGGTCTAGAAGGAGTTCAAGTTCAAAGGTTGCATATTTTCTATATTGTTCTTGTAAACAGTTTAGTTCTGTAGAAGAGGATTGATCATTGGTGATATTGAGTGTCCATGCCAACAATTGTCCGCAGAACTGCCACAGAACTAATATAATGATTTTATATTGTGAATTGGGGTTGCATATGGAATTTCAGGTTCCAGTTTACTCCAACCGTAACTTACTCGCAGTTCCAGTTGGTATGAGACAAAAGGATAATGTCAATAACATGGTGCAAAAGGTATTTTTAATGACTCATTGGATAATCAAAGCTATTTTAACCAACATTTTGGTAACAATTTTGTTGGTTTCAGTTTCTTCAAGATAATTTTACAGTTATGTTATTCCATTATGATGGCAATGTTGATGGATGGCGGGATCATGACTGGAGTAGCAAGGCCATACACATAGTTGCTCAGAACCAAACAAAATGGTAAGGATGGGCTGATCAATTGTGGCTGCAATTTTCAGTTTGTGAAACCTTGTGTTGCAATTGAAATGAATGATATGAAATGAAATGAAACTCGATTCTTTTCCTTTCTTGGATTGGGAACTGCATGTGTTAAAATTTCAATGACTCAATGAAACTGTGGCAGTCTTATCATTGCTGATAATGAATTATATGTTCTGTCTAAATAGCAGCGCATGTGTATATTAATATGGCTTTTTATTATTTGTATCCGTTTTGTTGTATATACTTCTTTCCTTGTTGGGTTTATTGGACTGTTGGTCCTCCAATTTTAGTTGCCTAAGATGGGTAACTTTTAGTTTTTAACACACACAAACGTGTGTTTATATATATATATATATGTATGTATGTATATCTATATCTATATCATGTGAACATTTTTTCTGATAATGCATTTGTATGTCTCAAGTCATAGATATTGATTTATATGTTTTATGTCAGGTGGTTTGCAAAAAGATTTTTACATCCGGATATAGTTTATATTTATGATTATATCTTTCTTTGGGATGAGGATTTGGGGGTGGAGCATTTTTCTCCATCAAGGTATGCCCATTTCTACTCTCAAGTATATCATATATTGTTTTACATATCATATATTATTATAACAAAAATATTGTTTTACAGATGGTCTACATTGAAGCCTGTAGCAGAATGCTATTTCTACTAATTTACTATTTTATATTCTCTGCATGTTTTGTTGTATCAAGCTTCCACCTGCTCTAAAATCTAAATCTTTGATGGCTCCTGTACTGAATAAAGAAGGGGAATAATCAAATATGTATTTTTCTTTTGCAAAATTGCAGATACATCGAAATTGTAAAACAAGAAGGATTGGAAATATCCCAACCAGCTCTTGCCCCAGATTCAATAGAGATACATCACAGAATTACTCTTCGGGCAAGAAACAAGAAATTTCATAGGTAACCTATTGATAGAGAATGCTGATTCAAGCCTGAAACTCAATGCTTCTCATACTCACATTGTCTATTTTCATGCATGAAGAAGGATCTATGAGCGCAGGGGAAAGACAAGATGTTCAGGTGCAAGTCAAGGGCCACCTTGTGCTGGGTAACTGTTACTATAGTAGTTCAAGAACTCGGACCTTCATAGATTTTCCACTGTTTGCATCCAGTTCTCTTTGTGCTCCTTGTCATATAAAACTATAAATGATTCGAACAACAGAAAGGGGGATTTTCAAATCTCCTAAATTGGTCAATAATGATAAATCTTGTAAATCTTGACATTATCTTAATCATGGTATGAGTAAGCCATTGATGGGCTGTGGCACACATTACAGCTGGGGTTCAGTATAGAAAAATAGTTTGTTTTTCATTTGATATATAAGGAGGAATTGTGGCGCACACATTCTGTAATCATGTTATGAATACACAAACTTCTATACATATTTTGTAGATTTGTGGAAGGCATGGCTCCTGTTTTTTCTAAGTCTGCCTGGTATTGTGCTTGGCATCTCATACAGGTAATAGTATTTCCATGGTTCACATGAATTTTGGATATTTCATCAGAAACCAAGTCATGATTTTTGTCCTCCAAGTTTGATAATTATCTTATCAATATTGTGTTCAATACTTGGTATGACAAAGCATCCACTGATGTCTTTCACATGCATCTGTTTTTATGTGTTATCATGCTTCTTTTGTAATTTCCTTTGTTTTATTTATTTTTTTATTACTCATCATCTTCTATTCATCATCATCATCATCATCATCATTATGTTGTCTGCAGAATGACCTTGTCCATGGATGGGGAATGGATATGAAACTAGGATATTGTGCACAAGTAAATTTTTCCTTGCTTTCTGTGTCTCCAACATGAGCTCCTTCTTATCAGAAAACTGTTTTCTATAACGTCCAACATGACATGCATATTTGCGTTTGTATTTTTCTCTTCTTTCCAGTAAGGTTGCAACAATCTTGGTTCTCATGCAAATACTGAAAATTTTTGTTTAAATTTCTAATATTATATTGGATGATAATGAGTAAATACTGTTGCCTCCTCAAGTAAGGGCTTGGTATTATAAAATATTTATTCACTCATATGTTGACAACATCGGTGTGTCAAGTTGGAATGCATCATGGATTCCATCTGTGCATATACTACCTGCCATCACTTTGGCTGATAGAAACAAATGAAATGGAATGAATTGAAAAAATAAAAGTAACAATAAGATGATCAAAATGTGGAAGGGGATAGGTAAACCATATTCATGAGAGAGATGGATAATTTAATTCATAGGATTGAGAGTTATGATTCATGAGATTTTTGGAGTGATGATTCCCTTATTCATAATATATAATATTGAGTTTTATCATGTTTAACATGAGGGAAGAGAGTGATTTAGTTCATTTTTGTTTTGATTTTTTTTAATCCATTTCATTTTCATCTTTTTTAGCAACCAAACGAGATCTTAGCTTTCTCTTCCTCCTCTTTACGCTTCTTTTGCTCCATGTTTTACTATAATTACCTTTGCAATAAACATTTATGTTTCAGGGGGACCGGACTAGAAAAGTTGGAGTTGTTGATGAGGAATACATTGTTCATAAAGGAATACAAACTTTGGGTGGGGGTGGTCAAGCGTCAACTAAGGTATTTTTCCTCTTTTTTCGCCATATGTTGGAACTGATCTTGTATTTATTACCTTTCTTATTATGAAATTCATTGAATCACCAAATCAGCATCATCTGTCTTCTTGTACGATATAGGCACTGCAGTTTTCCTGTTGAATCATCTAATAATTTACCTCATCTCCTTACAATTTGTCTATTTTATTAAATACATATCTTCAGTCTAGTGGTATTTCAAGCATCGTTCTTCTTCTTCTTCTTCTTTTTTTTTTTTTTTTGGTTTTTTTCCTACAAAGGCAAATTGCCTGAGATGGGGTTATAATGGAATGGTTTTTTTTTTTGAAAACTATATGAAATAGATACAAGTTTATTCTTGTTTTAATGCTTAATTACAACAGAAATATGTAGACTCTTCCCAAATTTTTTAAGGTGGCCTCATTGCTTCTTGGGAGATTAATTATTTCATTCTGTCTGCAGATTTCAAATCCCAAGCTAGCTAAGGTATGGTTTTGAATGCTGTTTGAGATGGATCTTGTGTAAATCCTCCTTGTTGTTTTCAAATACTCACCCTTGTTGATTTTCATTTCGAATCAGAGGCACAGAGCTGCTGCTGGTGATGTGAGAATTCAGGTGAGGCCCTTTTAACGTGTATTGTTGGTTAGTTTGGCTCTCCAAGCATGATTTGAACTCCAATCTTTTAATAAAACCTCAAAAACATAACTGACAGAACATAAGAATTAATCTATTTTGAGAAAACCTACTTTAGAAGGAAAGCTATCTTGCTTTCACATATTATTTTATTCACTTTCTCTCATAGCTTGCAAGTAGGCTTACTTCTTGGTTAAGAAAATCTCTTGTACACCAACAAAGATTTGGCCCATAAGATATAAAGTTGTGGGATCAAATCCCACTATTGAGGTGAGGACCTTGTTCTATGTAAGTATCTCTGTAAGTGTATTAGCCTGAATGTATGCCCAACCCTAGTGACCTACGGGACAAAACTCGCCTAAACTTTCTCAATACCAAAAAAAGAAAATCCCTTGTATAAATAGCCTAGCTGTCTTGGGTAGCCTCCTGTATGGAGAATTATTTTGATGAATAAAATACTTATTTGCTCAGCTAGCTCCCTCCTTTTCCTCCTCTATATTTCTGAAAATCTCCCAAATTCTCCATTATTTCCATACGCAGCTCTGTGTGTGTGTGTGTGTGTGTTGCATCATTAACTTATTACATGGACTGTACAGATTAGAAGGCAGTCCACGCAGGAACTTGAAGTCTTTAAAAAGCGATGGTATGAAGAGGTAGCTGAGGATAAAAACTGGGTTGATCCCTATGCACGCCAGAAAAGACTCGTACGACACCAGGTCAGCCATGAGAGATTTTCTTAAATCTTCTCTAAATGACAAAGTACCATCAACCTCGTTTGTAGGCATAATAAATTCATCAGTATGTAGCTCTCAGTGAATTTCTAGTTCATTCAATTTGGACAAAATCACAATCCTAGCGTCCCTCCTTCCTTTTCTTGTCTCTCTGCATATCCCTTTTCATGTTATTGAGTGATTCTGTAAGAAATAAATGATTTTCTTTAATTTGTGTTGTAAACTAGTCGTAATATAAAGAGCAATATAAGAGGTAAGTGGAAACATTTACTCTTTGTAATGACATTGTGATCAAGGTTCATGAACGATGCGAAACTATTTCTAATCTGTTTGTAAGCGTGATGACACCATACATGTTTTGGTTGGTTTGATGCTCTGTAAGACATTAATTATTTTCTTCGATTGAATAGGAACAAAATGAAGTCTATAATGTTTTTCCTTTTATAGTTTTATAATTAGTGTTAACATTAAACTATAAGTACAGGAACATTTGTGTAACAGTCACACCCCCCCGAGCCCACTGCTGCGAGTGGTGGACTGGGCCGTGCCACCTCACGGCAACCACCAGCCGGCTTTCCTCCTGGTAGATCAGGAGTTATTCCCCGCACCCACTGCGCTAAGGGAGCCTTCCCAGGTTCGATCCTCCAACCTCTCCTACATAGCGAAGTTGAGGCTGAACCTGGTACCATTGAGTCAAGTTGACTTAATGGTACCAGGTTCAGCCTCAACTTCGCTATGTAGGAGAGGTTGGAGGATCGAACCTGGGAAGGCTCCCTTAGCGCAGTGGGTGCGGGGAATAACTCCTGAACTACCAGGAGGAAAGCCGGCTGGTGGTTGCCGTGAGGTGGCACGGCCCAGTCCACCACTCGCAGCAGTGGGCTCGGGGGGGTGTGACTGTTACATAAAAGGCGCCTTTTTATGTAACAGTCACACCCCCCCGAGCCCACTGCTGCGAGTGGTGGACTGGGCCGTGCCACCTCACGGCAACCCAGCCGGCTTTCCCCATAGTAGTTCATAGGTTATTCCCTCCCTTAGCGCAGTGGGTGCGGGGAATAACCTATGAACTACTATGGGGAAAGCCGGTTGGGTTGCCGTGAGGTGGCACGGCCCATCCACCACTCGCAGCAGTGGGCTCGGGGGGGTGTGACTGTTACATAAAAAGCACTTGACTCAATGGTACCAGGTTCAGCCTCAACTTCGCTATGTAGGAGAGGTTGGAGGATCGAACCTGGGAAGGCTCCCTTAGCGCAGTGGGTGCGGGGAATAAGCCATAAAAGGCGCCTTTTATGTAACAGTCACACCCCCCGAGCCCACTGCTGCGAGTGGTGGACTGGGCCGTGCCACCTCACGGCAACCACCAGCCGGCTTTCCCCTGGTAGTTCAGGAGTTATTCCCCGCACCCACTGCGCTAAGGGAGCCTTCCCAGGTTCGATCCTCCAACCTCTCCTACATAGCGAAGTTGAGGCTGAACCTGGTACCATTGAGTCACCTTAGCGCAGTGGGTGCGGGGAATAACCCATGAACTACCATGGGGAAAGCCGGCTGGGTTGCCGTGAGGTGGCACGGCCCAGTCCACCACTCGCAGCAGTGGGCTCGGGGGGGTGTGACTGTTACAATTTGGTACTTTAAATTTGTTTTGGATGCATTGTTCTCCTTCAATATTTTAAAACAATGCAATGTACAGTTAATATTTAACAAATGCTAATTAAAAAGCACAAAATGAAATATAAAAAATTGCAAAAAATGACCATATAAGGTTACTAATACTAATTAAGTTTTCTAAATTGTAATAATTATCTAGAGACAAATATTATTTTTTTTTCTGGTGTAAATGACCAAAAATACTATTTTAACTATTCACTTTGACCGACTGCCACGTGACACTATTACGAGTAATAATACTAGTAAATAATTAAAAATATTATACTTATTTTAGTAAAATCTTATTAAAATATTAATAGTTTAGTATAGATTAATTTAAATTACTATTATTATTTATAAGTCTTCACAAATGATTTACAAGTTAACTTTAGATATTTTCAAATAGGAGAATTGCACTATAAGCCCCGGAACCAACATATTTGCATTAAAGGCTCAATAGAATATAAAATAATTCTTCAAGCCCAAAGGTCTCTCTTACAACTAATTTTCCGGTGAAAAAAATGAAATTGTCTCTTTGTGAAATAAATGGACCTTTTATTGAAAGTAAATGGGCTTTGATTATTATTTAAGAATGTTTTGTTATAAATTTCATCTAGATAACTTGTAAATTTATTTTCCTTCAATAAGTTTAAATCTTATAGACTATATGATATAAATGGATGATTTGTTGTAAAAAAAAAAAATACACTTTCAAGTTTATTTACAATAGAATTTGTACATTTTCTCCCCTTCCAACTACTGTGAACTATGTGAAATATATGGATATTTTGTTGTTATTAAATGGACTTCAAATATTATTTATGGAGTTTCAATTACGTTGTGAATATCATTGGGATAACTTGTAAATTCCATCTCTTTCAACAATGTAAACCACTTGGACTATATGAAATTAATGAACATTTTATTATTAATAAATGAATTTTAAATTTATTTACAAATATTTTGGTGTGTTTCACAAAGGAACAATTTTGTCTTTTCATAAAAAAATAATAAAAATTGCAAGATAGATCTTCAGGCCTTCATAATTATTTTAGATTTTATTGGGCATTAAATGCAAATATGTTGGTTTCAAGGCTTGTAGTGCAATTCTTCCTGTAAAATTTTTGCAAAAATCACAACTAATGTATTCGTGATTTAGTGAATGCAATTTTTTTTACAAATATAATCGTTAAGTTAAAAAACATTCATTTATAAATTTTGGATATACTAGTTAAGCAGTTAATTTTTAAATAAAGAATTACAAATTTTGGAGGAATATTTTTAAATAAAATATTTAAACTATTACATATTAAAATATTAATATTTTAATAATATATCACTAAACTAAATATATTATTTTTAATTACTTATCAATGTTGGGTCAATAATGGTGGTTCGATAATTATCTGGTATCTTATCAAAGTGCTTGGTCAAAAACTAATTTTAATCTTTAAATATGTAAAAGAAACAACATTTGTCTCTTAATATTTATTTCTAATTTAGATAACTTAATTAGTATTAGTTTTCTTGGTCCTTCTTTTTTGTAGTTTTTGGATCTTTTTTCTGTAATTTGCTTGGTCATTTGTGATTTAGTGAATGCAATTTTTTTTTTAACAAATATAATAGTTAAGTTAAAAAACATTCATTTATAAATTTTGGATATACTGGTTAAGCGGTTAATTTTTAAATGAAGAATTACAAATTTTTGAAGATGAGCATTGCATTAATAACAAGTGTAGGGTCCCATATGCTTCTAGGCGTACAGTTTAAAGGCAAGGCAAATTTATCAACATTAAAGTTTAAGGGCAAATTTATCAATAATAATCTTTTTTATTTTTAATTGAACTAGATTCTAACTCCCCTCCAATGCAAGGGAGAGTAAAAACATCCAATAACTCACATTAAAGTTAGAACACCAGCCATGGTAAAACCAACATCAAAAGTAGTTACAAAGAAGGGGGGAAATGATAGAAAAATCCCCTTGAAATATGCAAATAAAAATAAAGTCTCCTAAAATATCATAATTTCTCTCAAGTCTTTAGGAATGTTTCTAACATTAATAATTTTTGATAAAATGACTAAAATATCTTAGTTTAAAATAAAAAAGTAAATATTAGTGACAACTTTCCTTTAAGCAACAACTTCTTTTCTTCTAGCAATGACTAGAATGAAACAAATAATATCATCAAATTTTTTATTCACTGAAGTCCAAGTTTTGTAAATATCCATAATTACTTTAGTTTAAACAATGGTTACTTTTCTTTTAGCAATAACTAGAATAAAACGAGAAATTACAACTTTCCCTATGTAAATTTTTTATTCACTATTGTAATTTGCACATGGGAAGATGTAATTACTTGTTCTATTCTAATAATTGATAGAAGAAAAGTATTCATTGCTTAAATTAAAGTACTACCTAATATTTACGTTTTTCGGACCAAAGCTGTTACTTTTTTATTTTAAATTGGAGTATTTTAGTCATTCCACTAAAAATTATTAATGTCAGAAATATCCCTAAGGACTTGAGAAGAACTATGACATTTTGCAAGACAACATTGTCATTTGTATAATTTAGAGGTATTTTCTACCATTTTCCCTACAAACTCTATATGTGTGTGTAAAGTCACCCTTACTAAACCACAATTGTAAAATCTCACACTAGTAAGCACAATTAAGCAATCAAACTCATGGTAATCAAAGGATTAACTCATAAAGGTGATTACCAAGTTTTAATTCAAAATTAAGGGATCCTAATTTTTCATAATCAAAATGAGTTTTAAACAATTATAAACTCATATATCTGAGTAAAAACAAGTCATGGAAGCATGGGATACCTTAGAATAGTGAAAAAATCAAAAACAATTGAAGAATAACTCATCTACTGCAGAATTGGGCAATGCACCATGGCTTATGCACGCTACATCGCAGCGTGTTGCACGTATTCTGCTGTCATTTAATAGTAGAATCGGGGAACTTCTGAAGCACCTCATGATGGATCCCATGGCATTAATGGCAACGAAACTTGAGGATGGTAATCATGAGCATGGTGACATGGAAGTAGCCCAAGGCAAGGAGTAAGAAGCCCAATACTTCCAATCCAACGTACCTAAAGACCCATTATAACATATTGGAGGTCCAATGACAAGAGCTCAAACTAAAGCCATGAAGCAAGCCTTGTTCAGTCTTGTGCAAGAAGTTTAAGAGCTTGGAGAGCATTGGGGTACTCCTCTCAAGCCCAAAGGAGAGCATCTACACGTGTATAATATGCTTAAGATCCAAATCTATGAAGAGCCAAGCCCAAGAGATGCAAACCTTAGCCCAATATAAGGAAAACTACAACTTGAGCCTCTTGCAAGCAAGGAGGCATGAAACCCTAGTGAAGAAGTCAAGGGTGGCGTGATTTTAACTCCTTTATGATCCCTTGATTGTCTCATAAATTATTGCCTATTTTAATGGTCCTTTGATTTGATTTCCTATTTTGAGTCTAGTCAAAGGTTAGAATTAATTATAGTATTAATTTTTAAATTTTGTAATCCCATAATTTTAGGATCACATCTCCTAAATTATGTGGCTGAATATTTTATCATTATTTTATGTTATTTTTCCTTTTAGTATTAGGAAATTAGGATTTTAATTTTAGAAAATATTCTTCTCTATGAGCCTATATAAATTAGGCATGGTCCC